GCTGCACAAATGTACTTAGAATTGCTATAAGCGTCTTTATTAACAAGCAAACGCAATCAAATAATGCCTATTTCGCTTTGAAGAGATCACAAAATCTATTGTAAGCCCTGTTAAATAGCAAAAAAATTAAATGCCTATTTCACTTAAAAGAGTTACTTACCCCATGCGTTATCACTGAAATTTCAAGCAACTAAAGTACTTTCTGCTGCCGCTGCTATATTAGCAACAATTTGACTTCCTGCTGCTAATATTATTTCTAACATTACATATGAATTTGCTATGCATGCTGCTGCTATTAAATTCGCTACATGCAATCTGAATAACTATGCATACTGCTGCTACAGCTGCACAAAGGTACTTAGAATTGCTAAGCCCCTTTTTAAATAAATAAAACGCAAGTGATGCCTATTCGCTTGAGGAGTTCACATACCATCCATTTTTAGTCACTGAAACTTCAGCAATTGTAAGTTGCTTTGGATAAATGCATCTGCAAAATGAATAAATGTGAATGTAAACTATGGTCTACCTACTGCTGCTGCAACTAAACGCATGTTTTGATTTGTTATGCATGCTGCTATTAATAATTCGCTAATAATGCAATCTGATTATATGGATACTGCTGCTACGCTCCATGAAAGTACTAGAATTGCTGTAGCCCATCCATGCATTATCACTGAAATTTCATGTAACTAAGATGAAGGTACTTAGAATTACTAAGAGTCTTTATTAAACAATGAAACGCAAACAAATAATGCCTATTTCGCTTTGAAGAATTCACAAAATCTCTGTACGCCTTGTTAAATAAACGAAGTAATGAAAGCCTATTTCAATTTTAAAGAGTTACTTACCCCATGTGTTATCACTGAAATTTCATGCAACCAGATACTTTATGCTGCTGCTGCTATAAACAACAGTGATAATTTGACTTGATTTGCTATGCATACTGCTATTAACGCAATCTGAATTCAATGATACTGCTGCTACACTCCATGAAAAGACTATAATTGCTGTAAGCCCAACTGAATGCACAAATAGTAAATCCCAGTTTAAGAGTGTCCTACTATTAGCTACATTGTACATGGGCTACTGATTGGAAATTATTTATTATTAGTAGTATCTTTATATTTTAAACGAATTCATGATTATCTTTAAACTATCACTAAACATGACTTTCATTATAAACTCTTCACTATCACTGAACCAAGGTAACGAGTGAAATAGAGATGTGGCCCCTTTAAGAATGAGCGCTCCCTCTTCTGAGTGCATTGCAATGTGGCACGAGTACACGTATGAGCGGGTATATTATTTTCTGCTGCTCATTAAGTTGTTATGGTTAAATAGGTAAGGCTGTTGACAGCATGACGTTTATGAAAGACATTTATATGGGTTCACCTTAACTTAAACTGTGAACAACTGTGAAACGCCAACTGCAAACCGACCCCACTAGTGAGGTGTGCATCTGAAAGCGATCCGTTCACGGTTAATGTAGAAATTAGGGATGCACCGATACCACTTTTTCCAGTACTCGCCCGATACGATACTTTTATTTTTGGTACTTGCCGATACCGAGTACCAATACCAATATTTTATTGCATTTGTACATTTTTTAAATATTGGGTACAGAAACCAAAAGAGTATGTATAATGTTAGTTGGTTGACTTCATTTATCAAATAGATAGTCAAACCAAAATTTATTCAGACACCTTCAACATTTCTCACATTATCACAGTTTATTCGCTATAGTTTAGAAAATGGTAATAAAATATAACAAGAACTCAGAGTTAAACTGTGTCAGAACAAATTCAGCTTGATAATGTTAGATAACTTTGATAGAAAGGTATGTAATGGATTACAATAAACCAAAAATTATTCAGACAGCTGTCAATATTTACACAACTGTCAATACTTTGTCGGGTGACCCTTAGCCTTAATGACAGCCTGTAGTCTCCTGGGCATGCTGTCAACCAGGTTCATGCAAACCTGAACTTCAAATTTTTTCCCCAGACTCGGTCTGAATAATTTTTGGACCCAAATTTGTATCAATTTTACTGGTAGTCCACTGTATGAAAAATGAGTATGATTTGTCACAGTTTAGTTTATTTTGCTATCCTCACTTACATAAATGAACTATAGTGTCCTGCACCCACTAAAAAAA